GATTAAAGCATTGCCTCCCTAAAGGCTGAGCTCTGGACATCCTTGGGGTGTTTCTTTCAGGCCCCAAATCCACAGGCTCTGTCAGAGCTCATCACGTATCAGCGATGTCGCAAGACTTCCCTCGGGTTTCGTTTCTCACTAACTTGTTTGTTACATGGTCCTGATGTGAGCATTGTCACGGTGGGAGGTGGGCTGACTTGATGCAGAGATGTTTGGCGGGAAGGCAGAATTCTCAGGTCAGCCTTTCTGATGGTCAGGGTTTTGGGGAACAGGTGAAATGTGAAAGCATGGTGGTGGGGGTTCTGAGGACCGAGGTGACTGCGACTCCTCTCTGCAGGGGAGAGGAACAGGTGGCCGGAGTCGTTTATAAGCTGCCCCCATGCACTCAGCGGCTTCTGCCTCTTCTCTGCTAATGAAGTCAGGTGGTAAGAGAGTCCTCTCTCTGGGGACATTCAAGGAAGGCCCAAGGACCGCTTGGCAGCTTTGTTGCCAAGGCATGGAAACAGGGAGAGGAAGGGACCTTCTTGAGGGGATCTTTGCGCTGGACCCAGTGCCCAAACATTCTGTCTGCTCCTTATGTAATCCCGACAAACTGATTCAATACATACGAGGTAGGAAATTATTTACCCCGTTATATGGATGAAGAAACAGTCTCAGAAAAGCCAAATAATGTTCCCATTTCCACACAGCTAGGACTTTTTGATTTGGAGTTAAAATTCCAATGGCCTTAAAGGCCCCTCGCTGCGTTCACATCCCACGTGACCATGGCAGGACTAGCTGCTTGCTCCCACTGCGATGCCCTCTGAATGCATCAGGGCAGGGCCAGCCTCAGGGGTAAAGCTGCCCCGGTGCCCTGCCCCGAGATGGTTCAAGTGTGAGTGCCTGACACCGGCTCTGCCAGGGGTGAGGGATAGGGGGCCGGGAGCCAATCCTAGGGAGGCCAGTAGGTGATGGGAGTGGGACAGCCCATGAGCGAGGCTCCGTACCGCCCCCTACCCCCACCACGCATGCTCCACTGTCCCATCAGACTTCAAGTACAAAGCCTAAATTCAAAGGTGAAATGATTAAGGATTTCAAGGTGGTGACCCCAGAGCATCAAACTCAAGTGTGAGGTTTTTTCTGAGCTTGGGACCCAGTGCAACTGCCTTGGTCACATGCCCAGGAAGCCATCCCTGGGCAGTGGGGAACCGAAGAACTCAAGTGGAGATTCCTGACCTCAAGGTGCTTCCACGGGAGGAAGATAACTTAGAATGAGCCAATACATTATTTGGAACAAATGGCAGGTCAAGTTAGCGTGCTTATAAAAGTAGCTTGTGATTATGGCTATCATTAGGCTTTCTGTACCCACCTCTTTTGTAAATTAGTAACTAGATTTCCTCATTTTCTTTTTTCCTTTGTGGGGTTCAGCCTCTGCTAACCCGCTTGTTATTTTAAATAGCACTAACTTGCTAGCAGCCAACCAGTACCTTTTAGGACAGCGGTTCAACGTGTTGGTGCCTCAGACTCCCTGGGCTAATTTGCATTTATGTGTGATGTGTGGCCAAGGTTGAGATGGGGGAACACTCCTTGCTGGATGACATTCTGGAATCTTCCACGGGCAAGCTTTTCCCTGGGAGGGAGGCAGACGGGACAGCGTGGTGGGGAGAGGAGCAGAGTCAGCCGGGTGGTCTGAAGTCCACGGGGCTGGAGGAAGATGCATTCGATTGAACCCCAAAAAGTCGATCTGAAATTGAGAGGAGCCAGAAGGAGTGTGGGCAGGCTGCCGAGGTCAAACACCAGTACCTGACCACCCGGCGATGGGATGGGAACCGGATTGGAATTCCAGTGGGCGTTCCAGGGGACTCACATTCCAAATAGGGACACGAATTCTTGGAGAAGGCAGGGGGAAAAGATGCACCCCTTAGGGCTGCCTGAGCTGTTCAGCACCTACCTGCCGCCCGGAGCCCTGGGCCAGGGAGACAAGCCCGCGCATCCTGGCTGGGTGGAGAGGGGCCGCCTTCAGCTCTTCGCCCCATGCATCCAAAAGCTTTTATGAGCTAAGGGCAGGGTCACAGGCTAGGCTCGAGCAGTTTGCTGTGGTTTTTTTTTTTCCCTCAAATGCAGAAATATTTGGCCAGTGGTTTGAGTTCCTCAGCCAGGCAGGGGGCTGGTGACCCGTAGCAGATGACAGCAGGGGACAGCTGGGACCGACCCTCGGAAGTGGCAGTCAGTTCTTTAGTGTCACCAGTCTTTATCCAGTGAGCCCCCACTCTTGGGTGCTGGAGCAGGGGGCTGGGAGAGGCTGCTGTGACCTGCTGGCCTGGTCGCTTCAGTGTGGTCGCAAGACCAAAGCCGAGGTGCTGGGCGGAGGGGCGTGGGGCAGTCATTTGCCCTCCTACGTTAACTGCTTCGACTTAGAAAACAAGAGCCGAATAGCTGGACTTGAATCCTCAGGCGGTTCGGTTCTAACAGCGGGAACGGTTATAATGGCCAGAGGGGAGGAAGGCTGTTGGCCAGTGTGTAGGGAGTGGAGCAGAATACCGTCCTTAACCATCAAGCTCCTCCTGTAAATATTTGCAAACACCCCTTCAAAGCTCGAAAGGCTTGAACAGGATCATTGGACGATTTGCTTAGAAAAAGGAGAAACAAAATTGACCTCCTGGTCGGAAGCGGCTTTAAAAAGCAAGCGTGTGTGTGGGCAGAAGACCAAAAAGGGGGAAAAATTTGTTCAAAGTTTAATAAACACAGAAGAGAATAAAAATAAATCTCAAGAGCACTTATTTACAAACTTGATGAAAGGAAAAGATTGGGGCGAGTGGGTGTGAAAGATGGGTGTTTGTGGAAGGGGAGCGGGCCTGTGGGGGTTCCACTGACGGGAAGGGGGGACCCGAGGAAGTGTTTACTCTTCCTAATGACAGGAAATGCTCTGAAGCAGCTTGGCCCTCTCGGGACGCTTTTTCAAGCATATTTGAAGCTTCTGCTGTCTAATGGGGCGGCCATGTGAAGATGAATGCAGCCGCTAGGCCTGTGGAAGGTTCCGGCCAAACGAGAGAGTGTGTGAGGCCAGGGAGCCTGGCCCCAGCCCTCCCCAGGCTTCTCTGCTTGGGCAACTGGCCTGCTTTCAGCTGAGCTGGTCAGGCTCCGATCAGCCTGCCCAGTCCCCTGGGCTGGGCGTGTTCCAGCAGCGAGAAAGGTTGATTTCTTCTCGAAGCTCCCTTTTCAAATTGCTGGGCGAGGGGGCTCCCACATCCTCCCCACTTAAGTGCACGTTTGCTGGTCTGAAACTGTCCACCGACGACTTCACAGCCGTGGTGCGGCAGGCGGGCCATCACCGCATCTGTGCGAAGACGTCCTTTTCCCTGAAACCTGGATGCTTTGGATTTTGGGGGAGTCTGTTCGTTGTTTGTGTCTGAGACTCCTGAGCTCAAAGCCTCAATTCACACCGTCCTTGAAGCGGTCATTGAGCTGAGCGTGCGTGGTTTGGAATTCACTGCTTCCCGATGAGCTGTTTCATGAGAGTCACAGGTCATGGGAAAGGGATGGGCGAGAGCCTCTATCAGGGGAAGAAGTGCGGAGCTCTTAAGATGAGGAAGTATTCCTGCGTCCCTCGCTTTTTTTTTTTTTTTTTGCCTTTTTTTTTTTTTCAGTATAATCGTCAGGGGATGGATTTCCCAGGAAATCACGAAAGGTGTTTGTTTCTATTTTAAGATCGACAGGATGGCTCGTTTGTTTAATAAGAAACTAGTCTTGCCAACAGCCAGATGCCTGAGTCTTTCAAGACTCCTGTTGCTGACCAACTGTGAGAACAGTGGCTATTTGGTGAACTGCACGAGTGCAGAGCCCTGTCTTACATGGGAGAAGAAAAAAACCTGGAAAAGATGGTCAGTCCTCAAGAGTCCTCAGATGTCATGGGGGAAAACAAAAATAAACAAACATAATACTGAAGTAACGAAAACATTTGTAAGGAGCCGTAAAAAACCATGAATGATTACGTTGTAATGAAGCGACATGATTAAAGAGAGGGTAGAAAGTAATGGAGATGCCAGAGTTGGATGGAACATTCCAGAAGGATGAAAGTAAGGAGATTTTAGACGAGGTTTAGAGAAACAGACCTGTAGGTCTGCCTGATGGTCTGCCTCATGGAGGTGCTTAAACAATGGGTGTCACATAGGAAGTATGGGCAGAGAATTAGGACTTGCTTTGCTTTGGGTGTAACCTCAAGTTGCGCATGAGGCAATGACAGACGACTGCAAAATAAACAGCAAAATTCTAGCAGCCCATGAACTTGCAGTTGTTGTGTGCGCTCTGCATCTCTGTACTTTTCATGGCTCAGAACAGAAGGAATTTGGGTTGATTCCTTCTCTTTCTTAGCTAGGACCCCCTCCCACCAACGGACATTTATACTGAATAAAGAATTTTAAGACTGGACCTCGTATAGCCAGTGTGCACAGATTTTTATTCAGATGTCCTCCGCCTGACTTGAATAGAGGGTGTATTTGGTCATATGTGTGTGAAAGACCAAACTGTTGAAGCCAAAAAAGATGCAATCCATGAACCTGGATAGAGTGGAGTGTTTGGTTGCCAAAATTTCAAGGAAAAATACGTGGGCAAACAGCTTGCCATTAGGAGCTATTTTCTTGGCACGTCTGATTAAAGCGTATGCAAGCCCGACAGCTCTCTCCAGGCATCAACTGTCATGAACTTGTTCCAATTCATAACCATCTAGGATTTTCCACCATGCCATCAGCTTTCAAAGGATAGGGTTAACTTCACGCCCTCAAATGGAGTTGGAAGTGGTTTGTTAATCTCTGTTAATCTGCTCCTCCTGGAACCAAGTACACATTATTTTTTTTTCTGGTTAAATTGTTAATGATATTAAATTGGCCACTGGAAACAAAATCATTCTGTAGATATTTCCTGTTTGGTTTCTTGAGTCTATCTCATGCTGCATGGTCTTTTTTTTTTTTTTTTTTTGAGAGAACAATGGATTTTAATCATTTTCACGATTGCCCTTTTTACAGATGCCATCCCGCCCACTTTCTACAGACCCTACTTCAGAATTGTCCGATTTGACGTCTCAGCGATGGAGAAGAATGCTTCCAATTTGGTGAAGGCTGAGTTCAGAGTCTTTCGTTTACAGAACCCCAAGGCCAGAGTCGCGGAACAACGGATCGAACTGTATCAGGTACCTTTTGTTTGGGTTGTTTTCATGGACAATCAGCTC